CCTTTACAGAAGGCTCAGATAAATACACTCTGTACGACAGATGTCTTTATATAGGTAGGAGAGGCTTCCTTCCCATTACTGAAATTTGCTGTGCATCTCCTATGTAGGATATCTGGAGAATTTAATTGTGCCCAGAGCTTATGGCCTGAAATAGTACAGCTTAGCTTCAGTAAAACATTTTCAGAGCAGAGAAAAGTTTTGTCTAGTGACAACAATTACTTGTAGGACTTCATGGTAATTTTACTACAAAACTTACTGCTTAGTTGAGTAGAAAAAGGGAACAGTCCACAGCACCAACTGCCAGTGAGACACATAGTGGTATTAGACATGAATGCTACTAGTAATTTCAGTGTCTGAGTCTTAAAACTAGAAGTTCTTTTGTCTTTGTATCTCTTTATTTTGATTGCAGTAACAGAAAATGCAACCTGTAACAGAGCCAGTCATTTGCTGAACAGCCCTTTGCAGAAGAATTGCAATATTCAAGCTTTCCCCACTTCAGGTCAATAAACAAGATGCAAAGTCAGGTCAAAACCAACAGTTTCAAGGTACCATTTAAACTGTGATGAAGCACTAAATGTGCCAGTAATCGATTTTGCAAACTAAACTTTTACAACTCTGAAAGGAGACAATGCTGGTTGTCTTCTTAGGTTTAACTGTGTTCTCCCATATGGATCTGTGTTTTACAAAAGTGAAATGTCCATAAATAAAAGAAATTAGAATTACCTGAACGTCCCTTATTTTATTATCCAGCAAACGAATGCAACAAATTTTTTCCTAAACGCATTTTTGACTACATTTTGTTTGCAATATATTCTTAAATCACAATTCCCATCTAATGAGATTTTGATAAGGCAGTGATGAGTCAATGAGCATATTAAAGATAAAATTTTAAGCCCAGTGAATATACTATGAAGGCCAGCCTTGGAGTCTGCTACATACATGGAAGAAGCAGTAAAGGCATCCTGGAAAGTAAATGTGTGTGAGGAAAAGCCAGATCTAGAGAAATGTGGACAAAACCCCAAACCCCAGAAGTGATGGTTAGTTTCATAAAGGTTGGGAATGGCTCTTCTAAGGAAGTATAGAATAAACCAAGTATCAAATGCTCAAGTTTCAATTCCACCCAACTATCAAAATTTGTTGCGTGATTTTTGAGCAAATTTACTTTACTATGCTTCAAAATTTTCTACCTAAAGAAGGGCTGAATATAATAGAGCTGATAAAATCATCTAACTTCATTTGGTACCTTTCTAGAATAAAAGAAAAATCCCAAACAGAAGAGCCAACTTCCAACAAAACTGTTTGCCTTTTATTCATAAGGTTTTTAAAAATATCCACCCTGGCATTCTCTGTATGCTAATTACCTCTGCTCCTTGCCCTCAACAAGTTCTTTTCACATAAATTTGTGTTTCATAATCGTTAGCCCTTTCCAAATCAGCCAATATATTCAACTAGATAAAAGGTAATTACTTTCAAATCGAGTAGGAAATTACAGCAGCATCAAGTTAGGCTAATGAGTTTTGGCTGAAGAGTTCTTCCTTCTCAAGCAGAACCTCAAGATTAAGCATTTTTGTTTGTACCTTAAGATTCACAATTACTGGTAACAGTCTTATTCCAGACATTGAACACTATGACACTTTGCTAGGTAACCGGGAAGTATTCTGAGACAGAACAAGGTGGTTTTTAGGTTGCTGACATAATGTCATTCTAGTCTCCTTCAAACATCAACTTAAAAGTTGAAACTGTATTTATATACTGTGGATTGCTTAAAATCATAGTCTCACAATGCCCCAACTACTTTTAAAGTTGAGCCTATAATGGAAACATTTTCTGGCTTCAAAGCAAGTTCCAATTTATTTGCTTACTCATCATTAAACTTATACTTCACTGAAGTATCTTCCAATTCCATAATGTAATGAGTGCATTTTTTGTAGTTCCTTAGTTGGAGATATCCTGGCTGTTTAGATTAATACATTCTCCGACCTTGGAAATTTGTATAAGGATCCCAAAGTAGGTCACTTACCTGGGGAATGAAGAGTTTCCCCCATAAATACATTTTTCACTGTCCAAGGTGGTGGATTTAGGGGTCTTGTTTATCTAGCTTTCCCTAGTTCCTTTGAACTTTCAGTGAGGTTGTCTCATAACTTTCATGGCTGCTCTGTTCTCTCTTACCAACCATATATGTTGTAAGAATAGGTGGGATGAGGACAGGAGAAAGTAGCTGAGTCCAAAGGTAGCAGGTTTTGGGTCATGATGTTGGACAGAACCCTTGGTTGTAAACTCCCCAGTTTTAAATCACAAATAGGTTAACAAGAGCAGTTGCTTGTGGCAGCACTGGGCTTCCAGACTCTTACACAGATGAACCTTTGTAGCCCAGTAGAGTTTTGCCCTGTGGGAAACAGAACTCAAGGTTAGCACCAAAACTTTCATGAAATCTGTTATTTCATTTTGGATGTTGTGCCTTCAAGCAAAAAGAGAATGAAGATTAAAACTACTGAGATACAGATGAATCATCACACACACACTTCAGGAAAGACATGCTGTCTCCTACGACTCCAGCTTAATACAAGTTTGAAATACCTTTCATTAATGCTTTGAGGTCTTACACAGACATGTATTTTGTTCTATCACCCAATCCCTTAATTTGCCTTTCTATGGAAGCTCGTCTGATCCTGCCAACAAAACTGATAATGTACTGAAAAAGAACTAGGATGGGCCCCCTTTCCAAGTAGCCTTACAGTCACAAGCCTGATGCGGCAATTCATAACCCTTGTACTGTAGCTACTTTCTCTGCCTGATCCCTGCTGGCATTCTAGCATTTTAGTTGTAAGAATGATACAATTCCAAAGTCATATAAAACACCAGAAAAATACAAAGACTATACTTCACTATTCACATAAAAATCACAGCCTAAAAACTTTAGTTTGCATAACAGAACTGAGAGAATTCCCAACATTACTACCTCTGTCCTAAGCTTGTTTTTTCTCCAACCATGAGTAGTAGTAGATTAAAAAAGTATTAGCAAACTTGTTTAATAAAACAACTGGGTAAATTAAAGTGAAGAAGAGATACATTCACATTTTAATTTTGAATTTGCTTACATTTATCTACTGGTACCCCAGCCTTAGAAAGCTTGCTATATTACATGAAAACCCTAATGTCAGCATCTTCTCCCTCAAAACTGTATCATTCCATATTTGGGACAACATTTATAGGCTTTGACAAGCTTTTTGAGGCAGACTTCCTAAGTGAAAAAAATTAGAAAAACCTGCAAATTCAGGTGTGGTAGTTTGTTTTTCTTAAAAATAAAATTATGTGTTACATATTTTGTCAGTTGCCTCTTTTTGCAGAGGTAACAGCACTTGCTGTTGTTAATCTACAGAATTCCCTATTTTTTCCACAGGACGAGGCTAAGTTTGTAGGACTCAGAAGTTAGAAAACCCCCCCATCTTATTATTTTTATGTTTAGTGCAGTGAGAGATCAGTTTGCCTCCCCATGACTTCCCAGGTTGCTTTTCCAAGTAGACTTGTGCTTTAAACTGGACCCACTTTGCTCAGCTCAGTACATTAAAAGTAGACAGGGTAAAGAGCAGTTTTAGCTTTTAATAAGATGAGAATCAGGGTTGAAAACAAGTAATTACGAAGCCAGTACTCATGGCTGAAATTTTAGCAATCTCTGCAATACAGTAAAATGCTCTAAAGCAGTTTACCTACCTAGTAACTGAAACACATCCACTCATTGTATTTAGGCTAACTGGATATGACGATTTAAATAGGTTCACTCTTGGAATTTCTATCATGTCAGTCACCTGATTTTTCAGTGTAACAGCTTTCATCAGCAGAGGTTCAGAAATCCCCTTTCTAGCTTATTTTATTCACAAAGACACTTTGAAGTTTTTCATAGAACAGACTTTTTCCCAATAGATGAATTTTCAGAAGTATCAAGCTGAGGAAGAAGGGTACAGTTTTGGACTACAAATAGATGTTTGCTTGTAAATAATTTTACAGTTATGCAAACTCAACATGTATTTCAGGGATGTAGGACCTGTTCCTGTGTGAGATTTCTACTGATAGTGATCTATGGCCCTGATCCTGTTTCTTACAGTTAGCAGGAATTTTATTATCTACTTCCATGGAAGAGGTTTTGTGAGTGCCAGCACTGTTAGAAAAACACATAGTATATTAGATACAGCTGGGAAAAGAAGAGAACTTACTCTCTTCCAGAATAAGTTACTTAATTTAAAATTTACAACAACTTTATCAATCTTAGACATTTGTATAGCACCAATCACCAACAGTATTATCACTAAGGCACTGGACTGGTACTCAGCTCTCATGGGGTCTGGCTCCGTATCTGTGGGCAATTTCCCATGTGATCATGTTTGTATCTTTTGTTTTTCTTGGTACATAATTTTCAACATTGGAAAATAAGATAAAATACAAAACATCCTACATCATTTACAGGAATATTGCGCCACGACTAGTTACAAGGTGCTCAGATTCTAAAGTGATGAACATTAGTATTTCTGTGCATAGATTTACTGGTAAAAGAAAATTATCCTGCAGGTACCAATTATGCGCAACACACTGGAACAGAATTAGTTTCAGTTCCTCTGGAATTAATGACGTACTCTAAGTTAAATCCTACCCTCAATGCCATGATTCAAAATAGTTTTTAGATAAATGAAGATAAGCCCTTGGGGCTCCTGTCTATGACAACTGATCCAGCATGCCTTCGTATGCTTTTGCATCAAAGTCTGGTCCTAACAACTTATGGAGCTCCAGTTTCAGCCTCTAAGAGAACAGTTTTTGATGCTTTCAGAAGCAGCTGAATCTTTTTTTAGTCTGTAGTGGATTTATCTATCCACATTATTAAAAAAAACCCAAACCTTCAGGAGTTATCACTATGCTGCTGGATCACACTGGCTGCTGAATATCTGTACTGACATACAAATTACTAGAAGTTCTTGGGTTGAAATAAGTTACTGAAAATGCACAGTAGCTGATTTTGAAACCACAACATCTCTACAATTTATTATTATTTTTACAAAATACCCAAAGTGATCAGACCATATTGTAGGTTACTGGCTTGCCAAAGGTTATGTTTTAAAATTGAAACCATTTCTGAGTTACAGAAGTGCCAAAAACAATCTTGAACCAGGTTTGTTTGTTGTTTTTGTTAATTTTTTTAAACCAACCCCCATCCAACAAAACAGTTGTATAACTTAAAACAGAAACAAGAGTTTGTGTTGGAAACTGTTTTAAAACCAACCCACCAAATCATGCTTGAGCAGAAGCCTTGTATGGCAAAGATTTAGCTTAGGGCAATTTCGTGCCAAGATATAGACCCTCTATGGGTTTATAATGGAAATACTGACACAACCTCAACTATAGTGATGCAAATGTGCCCTAAAACACTGTATTTGCTTTTATTAATAAAAGTGGTAGTGTTTACATTTGCAGGTATCTTACACTTCAGCATCATGATGAATACTGAGTAGAATGAGTTAAGTTTTGGCTGTAAGGTCAGAAGTTTCCAAACAGATGAATGAGACAGAAGTGAAAGTCCTCAGTCATGAAAACAAGAAGTTCAAATAAATAAATAAAACAAAACTAGGAAATATGGGTAGGCATTAGGTTGGAATGGTTCAATTAACTGCAAATTATGGCCACTATATTAGAGACAGAAGAAAACACAGTTACTTATTAAATAGCAAGCATTAAAGCTTTATGGTTTTGTATTAAAAAAAAAAAAAAAAGGAAAGCTGTTAAAAATAAGACTTGCATTTCCTAGGCCACCAAACTGCATGGACTAATAAAAAGACTAACAAAGGCAATACTGAAACATTAAGACACACACACACTCCATACTTGTGCAACTCAACCATATTCAAAACAATTGCCTTTTTCCTCACTCAAGAATAGGAAAGCATCCCCTAAACATTTCTGTTCATATAAAGCTTTAGGTTTCTTAAACTGTTTCTGTCTTATCTAGCTCGTTGTTGTTATGTATCCTTCCCATTATCAGAGGAAGAAGCTTATTTGTTTTTTTAATGGAGGTGCTTTGTTTCTCTCAAATGAGAGATTACATTCCTCACACCACTACAGGTTTTCCCCAGTTATAAATTTGGTGTTTACTCCAACTCCTCCTAGGCTTAAAAAGATAAGGGTTGGCACTAAATTAAAGATTTTGGCTCCTGTAATTAAAATTAAGGCTCACAATGAACTTCCTTCCACTATGTATGTCCCATTTTTACCTAGTGGAAACACCAGCCCTTAACCTACAGGCACTGGATACATTCTTAAATTGTAGGGGGCTATTTCCAGTTATGTTCTCCTACAGTTCTACAAAGTTCAGGTGGCAACTTTCTAAACATGTGAACAGGAAAAATATTTTTAAAAGTAGCAACCGCAGTTTAAATTTTTAGACAAGTTAGTGTCTTCTGGAAGATCACTAGTAATTTTGAATTACAAGAGATGGGACAGTAACTCCATGAAGTCCCTGCTCCTTATATGAAAATGGACTAGGTGATTAATTTTCATTTAAGTTTAGCCACAAAAGCAGTGAAAACCTCACAATCCTGAACAGTTGCAGTTCTTGGTATTAAAAAGGCATCTGATACCTGAAGCAAATCTAGCTGCACAGACATCACTGACCACACCATAATTTTAATTTAAACTGGACCTCTTCCCAAAAAAGTTAACACAGTCTCTTGGGTAGAGGGAAGCTAGTGTGAAAGGCAAAGAGGCGTATTTTGGTGTTTGTTTTTTGTTTTGTTTCTTTTGTTTTCCTTTTAAAGTCACTGCAGTAAGATCCAGATCAGTTTAGGGGTGTAAATGAAGGGGAAACGGGTGTTTGAGTAATATAGGCTAACACTGTTCTAGATGTGTTATTACAGCTGTAATTTCTGACTGTACAAATTGTACACGTAGGTTTAGACACATGAAAAAGTAACACACTCACAGAGACATAAAACACCTAGGTATAAAATATAAAGCAGTGTAGTAGTTACTAAAATTACATGCTCTCTTATTGCTACAGTGATTTTTGCTCTTTTTACTGTACCACATGTTGTTCTAAGCATATAATTTGCATAAATTATTCAAGTTTAAGAAAAATCCACACATCTTCACTTTAAGCTACTTATATAGTTAATATAAAACAAAAAGGTTCTAAAGTATCTCTTTATTAAAAGAGAAATAAAAATGTCATTTGAAACTGGAATTCAGTGGCCAAATCCAAGGGCAGTGCACACCTTGTCATTCTGGTAGTAGTATGCCCACGCAGCGTCAGTGGAGGTTGGTAGGGTATTTGGCCCAGTCTAGAGATGGTCACCAGACCTGCATGATGCCCTATGTGTCTGTTATTGTTCTGGTTTTGTCTTTAGCAAAAAGGACTATGAATGACCAAAGACTAACATTTATAATTTGTAGCAAAATTTGGTTTATGTAGAAACAAGCCATGTTTTGCATTTGGATAGAGATTTAAATGAATTAAAGCTAAAAATTAAAAAGCATGATGCTGCAACATCTGGTCACTTGTTGAAGACCTCACTTTTAAAGTGGTTAAGTTTGCACAATTTGTACTTTTTTCATTTTTTTTTTCTTTTTTTTTCTTTTTTTTTTTTTTTTTACTAAACAGTATTTTTCCTTCTTTTATAAACCAGAAAAACTAAACTACAGATAAATTTTCCCTACCTTGAGCTAATGCTGCAGATAGGGTTGACAAAGCTGTACAGCGCAATCAAACATACTTACATCTTAGCTCATTGTACAGGTACAGCCATAATCAAGGCACAAAGATCTTCTACAAGTTATTTTTTTTCAATAAAGTTGTACAAAATAATACATTTTACAGTCTGTACAAGAATAATAATCCAGCAGTAAAATAAAAAATGAGGGGAGGGAAGAAGAAAAAGAAGGGAAAGACTGTGAGGACTACAGTCCAGATAATGATTTTTATAGCAGACGGGATCATCAGTGGACAAACTGAAAACAGTGTGTGGTTAACTCTTTCTGCAATCACAGGCCATACGCAGTTCAATTCATAAATGTCCATGGTTGTCTTTAGACCACCAAGACTGGTTTTAAAAATACCCTTCTGAAAGGTAGCAGTTGGTTTTTGCACTGTCTAGGTCTGTTGTAGAATTGTCAGTATTTCCGTTCAAAGCCACATTACAGTCAGAGAACCAAAATCAAGTGTCTGTCTTCAAACTTGGTCTGTGACTTGGCACCTTCTTTAGTCTGATGCAGTGAATGATACAAAGTGGAGATCACGGGTTATAGGATTATGCCCACAACAGTGCTAAATTACCTAGTTTTCTCTCCCCAATTTTTGTTTTACGTTTTAATTTTTTATCCCCAATTCTTTCAGGTGCTCCACATTCAGGGCTTTTAATTAATTAGTTTTTATTTCTTTTTTTTTTTCTTTTTCTTTTTGTTAATAACAGTGTTAGGGAATCCTCATGGAAATGGCCTTTTAAGTGTTAGGGGCCATCTCAAACTGTCCGAGGGGTAAAGAAGCAAGCTTAGAAGTGCTGCTATTGTCCAGCAAGGAGAAAAAAGTTGAGGGGTGCAAATCAATGGGAGATTCAAACAGTTCTCTTCCACCCTATGTGGGCAAGGGTGTTTTTTTTTTTTCTTTTTTTAATAAGGAATAAGGAGTCCAAAACACAGAAAAAAGTGCTCTCCATCACAACAACTCATATTGGCGAAGGTGCATGCGCTGAATAATGTCCCGACAGTCATTGAAAACCCTCCGGATGTTCTCTGTATCCACTGCACATGTGAAGTGAGGATAGCAATAGTGCCTTCCATCTCCACTTGCTGTGCTGATTCTCTGTTAAAAGTAAGAGAGAGACACCGGGTTAAAATAAAACTGACTGGGGAAAATCCTCCATGTTCTCAAAACTCAGATGAATAAAGGTTAAGACACCTATGTGTGAGTTGTGTTTTCAAAGGGTGTAACTAAGTGGCAAAATGCCTACAGTTTTTCACACTCTCACCTAAATCATGAAATTTAGAATGATCTGAATTATATGGTAAGAAGGTCACTGCATGCTGGGGAATTTCAGAGTTGTAATGAGAACTCAATAAAGTGCTGTTATCTATATACACCTTTGGTGAATTTAGGCACACAACCCCTGGTCAATTTGTCCATGAAGGAAGTGGGATTTTGCCTCCTTGTACAAGGGTTTTCTCCTTGCTTTACACTTATAGAAAGCACCCCTCAAAATTTTATTTTGCTCCATTTTAAAATGGGTCCACAATTTGATTACCATGCTCACCATTACAAGTAATTGTAATAATATTTTTTAAAAAATCTGTCTATTTAGCTTCAGCTGACTCGTAATGGGAAATATGAAAAGAATGTGAGTATTTTGCAGTTTATGCCTCTTTTGATTAGTCTTTATCTTTAGAAATAATGCATGGAATAAAAATCTGGCTCCATTAGTAACAACAGGACTTCACTCATCATTTGATTTGAGGTTTCTTAATTCTCAACAATTCTTTTGCTATTTAATTATGTACTGTGTCCACAAACATCTGAAGAGCAGCTAACAAAGAACAGCAAATCTCTTAGACGTAACTGTTTTATGCAGTGTGGATGCTAAATATAAACAACACAAAGTGACAGGATTTTGCAAGAGTAGAAGGTGTGCAAGAGCTTATATTTGAGAAGAATCAAGTAAGAAATACTGGAAGAAAGAAAATACTTACAAGAAACTCATCTCTAATAAAATACTTGGCCCTTGTAACTCTGGGATCCTCACCAGGCTCTGGTGTTGCTGATGAATAATAAAATAAATATCTCATTAAAACAGATGTTTTTAGGTGATAGCACCTGAAAATCATGACTTGTTCTGTTTTCTGCTCATATATGATAGAAACGTAATTTGCAAAACTAACTATAAGACAAACTGTAACATATTATATAAAACATCAAGATTTCAGGAGTACAGAGGAATATTACAGTGGCCATAGTCCCTGCAATTTAGCAGGTTAGAGAAATAACTACAGATATGACTAGGGGGAGTCCAGAGGACATATTTGTGACAAGCAGTACTGTGGTCTACACTAGCAAAGTAATGGGATTTTGGCATGATGAATTTGTTAATATATTAAATGTATAAAAGACAGGATTCTCTTATTATTAATACCTTAAATTTAATGTTACAGTTTGGCTGAAAGACAATGCAGATTATATCTACTTAGGAGTTTTCAAGTCTTAGCTGAAATTACCAAAACCATTACAAATGTGATTAACAAGGAAACAATTAATAGCTAATAAAAATTAAAAATCTTACCATCATCTGGTGTAGTGTAGCGAGCAAATTCTGGAAAGTAGTCTTCAATTTTAGATTTCCCTGCCAAAACTTTCTCTGCTAGCAAATCTTGTTTATTCAGGAAAAGAATTACTGAAATGGTCCGTAGCCACCTACGGAAAATTGAAAACAAACACTCTGAGAAGGCACAGCTAGGATTATACAGCAAAAAGGAACTTAAGCTAGTTCTGGAGACAAGTCATATGACATGCTATAATAATTCTGAAAAGTTCCTTTTATACCTGAATCCAATTACATAATCCCAGGTATACATACCTGGAGTGTGAGTTTTGTGCTCCTAATGGGGGCAATGAAAGTTCCCCACTTTCTACTGCTAATCCAAATACATCAAACAGGTGAGCATACCCCCTTTTTAGTGTGCTACTCGGTCACTGCTTTAATTAATTCAGCCTCAATATGGCAACTGCCAATTTGTAACTTTCCAGAGTTTTCTTCAATTAGATGAGAGCATTAGACATTAATCTAACAGGTAGGCAGTTGTGATCAAAGACCAGCCTGGACTGCACTGGGAGAAGGTGGTAACACCGGCTCCACTGCTGTGGTGGGTTAACCCCAGTGGGCAGTGAAGCACCACACAGCCGCTCGCTCACATTCCCCCTCAGTGGGACACAAGAAGAGGAAGGAAGAATGAAAGTAAGAAAATTTGGGGGCCAAGATAAAAAAAAAATATTAATTATAATTGTTTAATAAGTGAAGAGTAAGTGGAAGAGAAAAAAACAAATCAAAACAAGTGATGCAAAGGCAATCACTCACTACCTCCTGTGGGTAAACCAATACCCAGCAAGATGGCTAACTCCTAAAACTCTACTCTTTTCCCTTTTTCTGCTGAGCATGATGTTCTGTGGTATGCAATGCCTCTTTGGTTAGTTTGGGCCATCTGCCTGCTTGTGTCCCCTCCCAGCCTATTGCGCACCCGCAATTTATTCACTACGGGGGCAGAGTGAGAAACAGAGAAGCCCTTGATGCTCTGCAAACACTTTTCAGCAACAGCTACATTAGTGTGTTACCAGTACTGTTTTGGTCAAAATCTGTAAGGTGGCACCGTATGACCTACTATGAAGAAAATTAACTCTATTCTAGCCAGGCCCAGTACACAAGTCTTGACTGTAGTATAAAATAGGATTACTAATTTACGTGATATGAACAGTGAAACTTCAATTCACAGACCTGTTGTTCCAGATACTCTTGAAGAGGTTTAGTGCTTCTTGAAGCCGATTGGTCTGATTGTCCTCTCGTATAACCATGTTGTAGCTACTGCTCGCCACCACAAATATGATAGCAGTCACATCTAAATCAAGAAATACCCATTAGTTAATACCAAACTTCAGAAGAAATATCCAGGAATCCCCAAGTTCAATAAAAAGCTGCCAGACTTTCAGATTCATGAAGAGAACAGGCTGGAATGCTATTGCTGACAGCTTTCTAAGTACCAGAAATAAAAAAAGAAAGTGAAGAAACAATTAAAGATAGGAAAGGCAGGCCATGGAACAGAAGCTGTCAGAACGACAGAAAATGTAAAAAAAGAGAGGAACAAAAGCAAGAGAGAGAAACTGAAGAAAGCTAAGAGGAGAGTTTTGAAAAAATTTAAAAGGTATAAATAAATTTAGAATGCAACTCTGAGCTATCAAGAAAGGACAGGGAGAACCTTGGGGAAAGGCATCAGGACAAACAGCACTTTTGATCTGCATGAACAGTAACAATAAAATTAGTAGATTGCTGTGAATTCGTGGTTAATTGCTCTAGTCCTCCTATAGTGTACTATAGTGATGTTTCCAGGATCACAGAATCCAGATCTCTGTGTTTCTGTGGGGCTGTGCTGCTCCAGACCCCCTACACTGACTTTCAGGCTCATCTACTTCAGACATCAAGAGCAGAAGAGATGAGTCAGATCATGAAGTAACAGGAAGAGGAAGGAGCAGAGGTAAAACCCAAACAAATCTGTTATTAATAGCACAGAAGAAAATATTGCATAGTAGTTCCATACATTATAAAGTGTTCAGGCGATACTCTATGACAGTAACCTTAGTGAAATTAAGTTGCATTCTACTTTATCTATTCTGTAGGATCTTATTGTAAGGTTTCTACAAAAAAAGAGACTTTTGCATAGCTTCATATATATTTTGCCTAAACGAAAAAGACAAAAATATTTTCACCAACTCTACTTTTAAGAAAACTTGTGTGGGGAAAGGTTTCACATCTAAACATAAATACAGGGTAAAATAAACAGCTGTAGTGAAGGTACATGCAATGGTTCAGGATACATACAAAACTACCTTATTGAAATTGTATGTGAGATAAGAATATAATCACCTGAACTAAACTGATGGGAACATCAGCATTAAGACTCCATATCTTACAAAAATGCCTGCAAATGTTTCAGGTCTTACCTGTATCTAGGCTGGTGCTATGTTCACATTCTGAGGAATCTAGCTTATATGCAGGTTACTTAAATGAGTGTATTTGTTTATGAGTTTTCAGTAAGGGCCTTCCCCTTAGGGCTCTTTTTCAATAAATTGTATTAATATGCATGGATCCTAGAAAAGTACAGATTTATAAACTCCATCATAAACCTTTTTAACAAGGGCATTTTGGGGCTATAATATACAATGCTGCAGTATATTACATACCACATGCGACACCATGTCAAACAAGACAGATGCACAATCTCATACTGTGTTAATGGGTTGGTGCTCATTGGGAAAGAAGCACCCATGGCATAGCAATGCAGCTGCAATTATGTGCAAAAATACGATATTTTGGTTTTATGCCTCTATTAATTATGCTGTAATTGCATATTTTGTATAGGTATAAACACAGGTAAACCTTCACTTGGAAGACAAAATATAGCTTGTAATTTAACACTCACATAGCTGGCAAATAATGCACGAACCCACCACCAAAGAACCTAATTAAATGAAGAGAGGGAAGCCAAAGAAAATGGACAAGCAATGTTAAGTTATCAAACTTGAATTCTTTTCCACCTACATTCTCCCCAAAGATATTCTAATGCAGTTACGGAAGTTCACTTGTCAAGAAAAATTCCATCCCGTGTGACTGTTCAGATAATTCTTTATCAAGCTACATGGAAAAGAAGATGACTTTCAAACAGTAAGAAAATTTGGGCATTAAAATTTTGCAGAGAGCTATTTTATAAAACAAATATAAATTCTAATCATACCATTAAAACACTGGATCCATTTTCGGCGTTCATCTCGTTGCCCTCCAACATCAAACATACTAAGAAAAAAAACATAAATTAAGTCAGAATATGTTCTGTGTTCAGGTTTTTCCTTCCCCAAATGCAAACAGAAAATGTAAGAAATTTTAGGACTTCCATGCCATAGAAGCTAAAATGAACTGAGGATTATAAGAACCTGAACAGGTAACACTCCACCAACAAATGCACACAGAGCTTTCATCACAAAATATAATTACGTTTACTTTCACTACCACCTACACTTGAAGGTAAGAAATTCTAGCATATGTACATTGCAGATTCATTTTCACCCTTACAAGCTAAGACATTAAAAAAGGTCCTACAACCAGTCATTTGCTGAAACAAGTATGACAGATCTAAAGCCAACAAGACCATATTAGAACTCAGTGGTTTTTGTTTCGGTCAAGCAATGTTTCTAACCTGGAACAGTAAAGAGAACATGCATTTTCTGTTACTCAGATACGTACAAAGTTTTTGGTCAAATATATCACTACATAAACTAGTAATTAATCAAACACTTAGAAAAGGCTTTAGTGAAAACAGATTTAAACATTTTGTTCTTTGTGATTTAAATTAAAAGCAGAAAATTGCACACCAATTTGCATTTCTTTTTAAAGTCAGGATATTGAATTAAAAAAAGGCAGAATACTTGCTTTCTATTAAACATCAACTTGAGAAATATAGTAGTCTCAATGACTATATGGTAGATTGTCCTCCAATTTACCCTGGTATTTGCCTGCATTGTATTTAAAAAAAGAAAGGGGGGTGGGGGGTGGGTGAAGAAGGAATAAGTTAAAAAAAAAAAAGAGAATACCAAAGATACTTACTGAAAATTTACTTTATCCACCTGAAACTTGGTTTCAAAAATTCCTGATGTCAAAACTCTGCATCTGAGAAGATCCTAAAGGAAAAGCCACTGATTCAACACAGATACTTCACAATTTGTCATACACCCAGAAACAGAAATAAAAACCTTTTACCCAGTACTGACAATGTATGCTGTAGTGCAAAAACAGAGAACAGAGCATTATGAAGCTGTATTTAAGGTTTTGATCTTGAACATGTGTGCACACATATGGGTGTGCTCAACTTTTAAAATATATGTATTTTCACAAGCAGGTTGTAAGCACTAAGCTTGGAACAGAAGGAAACGTTTACAGGCCACTTAAAGGAAATGCAAGTATTCAGAACAGCGCAAACCCATCCCTAGAGATCAGATGATGCATTCGCAGATGACAGTAGAATTGTGGCACACAACAGGATCTTTAAACTACCACCAAATAATTCCCAACCCCAGAAGATAGATCTTTCCTCCAACTGTTCAGTGCTTGGCTATTAAAAGAAATGCCAAGGTCTCAGAATTTTCCATTTTTTTCCTTCAAAGAACTGTGAGCTCAACCACTTAAATCGTATAAGAATTGGGCTTTTCAAAGATAAAATTTGAAATTCCCCGTAGAGACAAAAATGATAATCAGAAGTTGTGAGCTACAAACATTTGAAATTGTTATAAGTGCTACAAAGTCTTATTAAAACTAAACTGTATTGGCTTTTATTTACTGTGTATTGTAAAGCAGTGACAGCCATATACAGTGCCTAGCGGGTAACTAATCTAGAAGAACCCAATTTGCATAGGCTGCAGACTGAGTACACAGTCCAAATATAACTAACTACAAAATACCACTTTGAATTCAAAGTGTTCTATAACTTAGAACTAAAGGTTCTATAACTTAGGACTTAGTTTTGGTGTTTTTCACAAGGGGTCTAGAAAGCAGATAAATTGAAACATTTGCAGAAGACCCTTAGCCTCCAATGTAAAACTGATACTTGTTTTAAAGCTTCATATCTAAAGATTAGTTGCTCCAAATATAATAAAATGTATTTTTATTATTTTGTTTCTTGTACATAGAATTATCTCAGTAATAAGAAAGCCCTATTAATAAAAAACCTTCAGATTTTGAAAAGGATGAATTAATTTATTCTTTAACAACTTTAAAAGATACAAACTGCTGTCTCCTCATGAATACTGTCTGCAAAAGTTGTGGGAAATTAGTATGTTTTTTGATTATTTATCTTGTAAAAGTACACTAGATGCTTAACTGCATTATTTATGGGCAGAAAGTTAGGAATATACATGTGATTTTGGATTAGGGATTTGGTCCTAAAAAGACCCTCAGATTATCTGTAACAAAATGAAAACTACAATTCCTACGGTGACAAAAAAATAAAATCTCTTAATAAGGTTATTTTCACAAAATCTGGTTTACAGTGGGTGCCAGTGGGGCTGAGAAGATACCAACCAACTTTGCATCAAAAAAAGTGCATGACAGTTACAGAGTGAGAAGGGCAAAGCATTGTAAACTACTCATTTAGGTGCCTATCTGAGTTTTAGTGTCACAGAAGCATGATGTCAGTCTGGAATCTAGGCGGTTTTTAATTTCACGGTACATTTATATGTATAAACTTAATCCAAATGACAAGTAATTTTTACTGCAGAACTAAATATGTACAGTACATGGTAATACCCCTATTAGTGCCACAAATGGCAATTAGAAAATTAATGAGATGGTTATCGTCAAAGATGGAGGGGACAGATAAACTGTGTAAATTCTTAATGAAACTTTCCTTACCTGGTCAGATGGTGTATACTCGTTTTGTTTGACTATGTCAATCTTGTCTAGAAAACTGGGGAGAGGAAAGAAAAAGAGTAACTTTTAATTCTCAAATTAGACAAACTATCTAACGCTTTAGTATACAAGAGGTTCCCAGATAAGATTTGTTATATTTTAATGCACTCAGATTCACAAAATGCTGGACACACTTAAATTGCTCAACATGTGTACACTAGTATTTAAAACATGCATTTCCTATCACCCCCCAGCAGAGGGCCAAATCCACAGTTTTATTAACCAAATCTGGTAATCTCCTTCCAACCCCCTCCCACTCTGTTCCCTCTGCTAACAAACACTTAAGTAGTTTAATTTAGGTAATTTATTTATATAAATTGTACAATATAATCTGCTACTGCTAACAGTAAAGCAGTGACTCAAATAAATTGCCTACATGTAATTTTCCTGAAAGACAAATATTTTTAAAAAAAATATTATCACTAATTCTTTTAATAAATTTAAAACCTAAACCAATTTAATTACAAGTTCAGTTAAGTGAGAGGGAATACTGATTTTTCTGCCAATTGTTGGTACCGGTTTTTCAGTTTACTTTCTGAAGAAGCAGCAGCAGTAGGCCAAAGGGGTACGAAAGGATATATTTTATTCAAATCCATTAGGTATTACCTAAAGAGGATATCCTGGCGTTTTAAAAATGTTTTTACCAATATACTGTAACTTCCTAATTATCTTTCACTTCAATTCAAGGAGCAAAAACCTCAAGAAACCAATTCTGTAACTCTCTTTTATTGTGGTGTTACTATGAAACTCGAAGACGTAGGAATCCAGCAGCTTCAGGATTCAGATTTTATGTTATTCGCACCCCTGATCACATTGTCCAACACCAAGTATGCAGCAGGGCTAGACCATGCTCAGACACCTTCCATTTCAGTATTATTAGGAGATCTAGCAATGCTTCTACAGTTAACTTTACCTGTAACATTAATGATTAATCACAGACTTAAAACCAATATACTTTAAGTGTCTTTTTAAATTCCTATGCATGAATTATTTTCTTTATGAAGCAGAAATCACAAAGAAAAATTGAGTTTTCCCTTCTGATCCCTACACATAGGTAGGTACGCTGAAAGGGCATTAACTACAGTCACAGGCAACAATGTAAAGGCGGGGGGTAAAAGTAGCCACGTCCCAGATTCATAAATCAGAAACCAAACTCGCATTAAAATCGGTAAGGGTCTTAGCCCGCAGTTTCAGCCCCTGCTTCCCAACTGATTTTCTAAAACACCTAATAAAAGGCAGGGGAAGGAGGAAAAATAACTGTATCTTTTAACTATGGCTTCAGTGTAATGCCCTTTTCACCAGGAACTAAAACACAATCTTGTTTCAGAGAGAAATGAAAAGTAATTTTTGTTTAGTCTGAGTTATAGAATTTTAAACACATTAAAATGTATCCTAATAAACATGCTACTAAAAACATGTGACAAAGTGTAAAGATCAATTTCCATCATGAAAGGTGATGTGGAGACAGATATAGAAGGATAAAATTAATGACAACTTGCCTTCTGCAATTTGCAAGCTGGATTTTTTCCTCATCTCTTCCAGACTGTTAAGTAATTTTATTTTTCTTTTTTTTTTTAATCCAAAGGAAAAGACATAAAGCTCTTTGTTCAGTACACAGAGGATGTTAAATGCGTACAACAATCATGAATTCCAACTAGTATGAGTGTTGCCCCATTATATTATCCCCTAAGACCACAGTTTCAGAATCATGTGGCAATTTCACAAGTTGGAGGATGCTTGAAAAATGTTCAGAACATAACATGCTCACGAAGATATAATGGTGATTACTACAGTGACCCAGCCTTTCTGTACTGAGTTTACCTAAGCACAACATTTTATGCAAGCTGCCACAAGAAGTGGATTTTTGTGAGGAGTTTTTTTTTGTGTGTGTATTCTGTTTTTAAACACTCCGATAATCAGTTTAATGGATTTTGGAAACTGACAATTAGAAAATAACAACAAGATATTGCTAAAACCTGGAACTGAAAGTACAAACCTCTTACTGTTGTTTATGCAGGCTATTTTTAGGCCTATGATTTCCTTGAAAAACATCAGCCACATAGGAGCAGCAGTACTGTACTTGAGATGCATTCCAATAGCAATGTTCATGCCAGGTAAAACAAGTTCAAATGGAATAAACATTTCTTCCCCCCCCCAGGTTCCAACATTCAGTAACATCTGATACTCGTAACAATACTCATTCAAGAAGGAAGCCTTTTACTGTGTGATAGTTACCAGAAAACCTACCCTGCTCCCAGTGGCATTTTAGGGAAAATGGAGCCAAGCAATATGTTAAATGAAGATTTCCTCCTGTGCAAGTGCCTTTTTGATAGAAGTCTGCTCTAGCAGCTTTAAAAAGTGCTAAAGACATTGAAAACCAGTTTGATTTTTTTTGCTCAAACATAAAGAAAGGAGATTATTCTCTCAGTTGGTCAACTGAAAAATAAATGTGTCTGTAAGGAGAAAAGAGTAGCAGAAATTCGATCTAGTCTGATACACCTAAAATAAGGAGCAACAGTGGGAGCATGAGTGTTCAGAACAGATCAAATCATTATGTTCAGACTTCTAAGTCAATGCTAGTCAAGACCAAATAATTTATCCAGTAAATTAAACCAGTATCAAGTCAGATGAGAACAAAGCCTAATTCAAAATAAAATAAATTCACCATCATTAATTTCTATTTTTAATTCCTGTTATGCTCTACCCAAAACACAAGTTAGGCCACTTCAGTACTACTTTGTGTGCTGAATTCACTTGTTCTAAGTCTACTGGAGATATGGTCATCTACTATGTCAGCAATTAATTTCACAGGGAGAAAGAAAAGTGACCTTGGTGAAATAATTCAAATAAAACTGTCAAACCATGAAACCAAATTTTATATTGCAATCAAGTCTTGCATCAAGTTACAAGGTAATTTTTTTTTCTTCTGTATACTTTTCCCAGAGAGTAGATGGGAAAGCTATTTTCCAGAAAGCAAATCATTCATTCAGCAGCGCTGCCAGTTCTCACTTAGGGCCAGATTCTGGACATGACTAAATAACAGAATCAGTTATTGCTCTGCAAAATACTGTCACTTAGTATAAGGCACTTTTGCCTGTGTTCTAAAACACTGATACCGCTATGACATGTTAGGGGGAAAAGAGAAAAAAAAACAACCAAAAAACCTCACAAAACTTTAGGTCATTTGTAGTCAGCAACACTGGAGAAGAAGCATCTCTGGGACAGCAGCAGATGTGTCCCTGAGATATTAATAAAAATTTAAACCAATCTGAAATATAAAATGCACTTTATTTTTAAGTTGCTTTCTTTACCTTTGGGAAAGAAAAAACACATCTGAAATGTTTTAAACAGATCTTTGTGAAGAACTAAGTGTCTTATTTTAAGGGGTGCATCTAGGAGGCAGCCCTCATAAAAGCTACACAGAAGCTTTTCTTAGCTCCTGCAGGTCAACGCAATCAAGCCACATACGTATCCCCCAATTCTTTCCAAATTTTTAATAAGCCTACTGTGTCAAAACCATGTCCCATTTTTCAGATGAAGATATATACCAGTTATTGATTTGTTCTGGAGTTCTTTCATACAGAGAGAGTTGTTTATGTGGGGGGGAATTTCCTGAATGAACAATGCTGCTGCCAGATTAAGAACTGCAGCCTGCACTCCTTTTTCCCCACTGAGAAGGTATATAACACATTAAATCTTCCACCTTAAGAACTTTACAACTCAAGAAGAACACAACTTTACTGTTTAGGAAAGAACAGGGAGGGGGAAATCAGACTGCCTTTCCTTGAGCATTTCCTGACAGTCTTTTCAATAAACAGTAACTTGAAATTTTACTCTTTGTGGTCTGATGAAATGGTTGGCAGGCAGGTTTTTTTTTTTTTTTTGCTTTGTGAAGAAGAGGTTTTGTTTTCAGTCTTGAACAACACTGGAAAGATGCCTTCAAACTGACAACACACCTATATTTGGGGAGCTTTATTTCCATCAGATTTTTAGGTTTTTTGTCAAGTCATAACCTGAATTTGTATACAAAATGTCTCTCTTAAAAGACATATTAACATCTCATCTTTGGAGTCAGTAAGACACTGCAAATCAAGAATTTAAACTTCAGTCCCAACTAAACAGAGCATTTGTTTATAACTTAACCTTCAACAGTAGTACTAGAACTCTGAATTTGTAAGGTTTCTTGCCTCTGAAAGCCTCAAGGTATTTTACAGACAATAAATCATACTCACTACTCCTGCCTGCCTTCATTTGTGCTGCATTTCCTGCCTCTACCATCAAATCCTGAAATGCACACCTTCTATTAACCCTATTTTTAAAGGTAAGCACATAGGGAATAAGTTAATTTCCCAGAGTCCCTTGAGTCAGTGAAAATGGAATTTTCGTTCCCTCTGAGTCACGTGTTTTTATCAAGATATTACTAAGAATTAACCGGAATATTACTAAGAATTACTGAGATTTTACTAAGAATTAAAGTTGTATTTACCCTAATCACCTCTAAAACAGTCTTTATAATTCAGGTTTCTACGTCCAAAAATAAATTAATATTTGTTTACTGATCTTCCCAAAGACCAAACTGTGAAAATGCCCAGCAGATTTTTATTTGTTTATCTATACCCTATCAGGACTACAGAACTAACTCAGAGCTCCCTAAAGTAGTTTTAAGCTGAAATTTAACTCTATATTAATAGTGTTTATAAATACAAGTGTATTTTTTTATTTCTCAGAACAGATCATGCTTTACTTCTACTTTACTCCCTTTTTAGTCCTTGCCATAATTCTTTATGCTATTCAACAACAGCTTTTTAAAAGCTAAGCAGTTAACTATTTGCTAAATTTTTTTTTATCTATGATGTCTATGCTGAAGCCAGAGTCACAGGATTAATACAAAGATATAATACTCTCTTTAAAAGAGTATTTGAGCTGAGAAATAGATGGTGTATGTACTGTAACTTTAACACAGTTTAAAAACATGTTAATACAGACGAGTTTTCCAAA